TTTTTTTTTTTTTTTTTTTTTTTTTTTTTTTTTGCAAGAGTACACTGTTGGCTCATATTCTGGTCCACACTAACCCCAGGTCTTTCTCTGCAGCAGTGGAGCCCAGCCAATCATCCCCCAGTCTGTATTTGTACATGCAAGTATTCAGTCGTAAGTGCAAGACTTTGCATTTGTCCTTGCTGAATCTCATCTGGCTGATCAGGGACCATTCTTCCAGTCTATCCAGGTCATTCTGGAACCTAGCCCTACCCTCCAGAGTGTCTGCAACTCCACCGAAGATGGTGTCACCCACAAATCAATCCCACCATCCAAATCACTAATGAAGATATTAAACAGTAGCAGACCCAGAATAGACCCCTGTGGAACCCCACTTGATACCTCCCCGCAGCTAGACATTTAGCCATTGATGACTACTCATTAAGCATGATGGTCCAATCAGTTACGTATGCACATTACAGTACAGCCATGTAGTCTCTAGATCCTTACCTTGTTAAGCTGACATGTAACATCCTGGGAAGATGCAGGATTCTCTTCTCAAACTGGCTGAACAAGAGTTTATTGCTCAAATTTAGAAAAATGGAATACGGTAGGGGTGCACCAATAAAGATTTTCTTGGCCTATACCAATAGCCAATTATTCACCAGGCGTATTGGCTGATTGAATACATTAACTGATTTACAAGAGCACAGCCTAGCAGCATGGAAAGCAGAGCCCTGCAGGTAAGTCTGTGCAGGGGAAGGGGTGTATGGGGGGCGGGGGAGGGGGATCAGAGAAAAACAGGATCCCTGAGAATTACCAGCAGGAAGTACGTATATCTGGATTGTTCCACTAGGATCATGAAGAAAACAAGTTACAAACTGAACTGAGAGGTCCAGAAACCTGATATTTACTTACTATGATTTCCAAGATCAAGCATTATGGTTTCTATATAAATCTTCCTTAACAATGTTATTTCATGCTGAGGCCTGAGCTGCAAGTACAAACATTTTCTCCCATTGTATTTTCTACAACCTAGCAGAACAGTTCAATTCTGACATTTATTCCTCAATACTGAAATTAACAGTCAGAGGCTGCACTTTGACTTGGAAGACAGTTCTTATATTTTACTTTATAGTGGCAAAAGTCAATTTCTTCTCCCCATGGTCAGAAATACATTTATTGTGTAAATAAAACTAGATGATGCAGTTATTTTACAGTATCACCAAGAGAAGCACAATTCTTACCTCAAAATGGTCATCATAAATTAACTTCATGAATTCTTGATAACTACTAGATAAGCAATTTATCAGCAATCCAAACAAGCCCCATAAATTACCAAAGAGAGCTATTCAAAGCAATATATGTAAACTATATAAAAATTCAAAAGCCTGTCAGTTTTACTGAATATTATAGCAACATAAAAATGACTGATATCATCCAAGTTTTAATTTCACTCTTCATTCCTAAACTAAGTACAGAGAGTCAAAAAAGCCTGAGGCTGAATCAATTCAATCTTCGCAGTTCTATAAACCGATTTAACCTAAATCAATTAAGTCTGATACTACATCCATCCAGGTTGATCTTAAACAGGTTTTGGCCACTTTGAAAGTGGTTTATGTGCACTGAACTTCTGTTGCGTTACAGATCTGAACCAGTTTCTGATCACTTATACCGGTTTGTGTGTAATTTACGTCCCTAGCCCAAAAGTTAGCTATTGTTAGTTTTAATATTCAGTCCCAAGTACACTGGAGCAGCTCCTACTGCCTCCATAGGTTTCCTTTTCATCACTGCTGATACAAAATTCCCTACAAACTAATACTGTAGCATCACTCTTCATTTCAGCCTTGTGAATGGCAAATTCTACATCTGTTTCAGTTCAAATCCTGCATCTTTATGTCCTTCACTAAACCAAGCAAGTGAGCTAATGAAGCACAGAACTTGTAAGGGGGTGCATGTAGGTCAAATCATCATCCTAGAGATGCAAAGTGAAAGCAGAGCAGTGGTTGCTACTGAAGTGTCAAGACTGTCATTGTGTATTTGAAACTTCTTCACGCTCACTGCAAGTGCAGAAAGACCAATGGATCCCATACGTTGCTCCATACCCAGGGCACTGAGGTGCAGCGCTCTAGAACTACCCTTAAGTGGGCACTGCAAACTAATCAGATAGCCTTGGCTAGGGAACATCATTTGCACAAACCAACACTCTTACAAATAGGTTACAATAAGGTAATAAAATTGTCAGGAGAACAGGTCCTCTAGAACTTTTAGGTTCCATCCACACAATAAATTTTCATTATTTGTAGTAATTTAGACTCACGGTTGGCTCATACACAAGATGACAGAATTCTTTTTGATAACCATGGCAGCTGCTCATATTTTTTCCCTGCAAAAGACCTATACTAGTGTATGGTTGACTTCATATAACTAGGTAAGC